ATCCAAAACTTTAATGTTTTTTATCTTAGCGAAATAATGGTTTAATGACCCCAATGTAATGATCATTTATGATTCTGCAGATGTTGTCTACACGTGTATCACAACGGCTTATTTTTAGAGTGATTTGGAAAACTCGGTTAGCGAGGTTTATTTTTGTCAATATTAGATGCACTGTTTTCATGTCCCATGTACATATCTGTACATATGGCCTCACGCACTACTAACACAGAGTAATTCAACATAAATACAATATCAGACATCAAAAAAGAACAGACACTCATGTAGTGAAACATTTTATTAAACACAAAGTGGAGTCACTTAAAGTCATGGGACTGCAAACCAGCCCTACATGGACAGACTTTTCACGCAGAAAACAGGAAAAACACTGGATTTCTACACTTGGAACTAAACATCCTCGGGGTTTAAATGAACAGTGAGGGGCGCCACACACCGGTCCCAGGATGGCCCATGCTTTACGTTGATCCAGACTATGTCTGGATCGCGGATTATTTAATTTCCCCTAACCCTAACCCTAATCACTTGGTTCTAGGTTACTCTCCTGGATTCAGCTAGTGCATGTGGATACCTCAACTAAAAGGGTTATGTATCGAGCTTCGAGCTTTTCCAACAGCCTAGGTACCCTTTAGACCAGTGCTTCTCAAAGTGTGGTCCGCGGACCACTGGTGGTCCGAGAGCGCCCCTAGTGGTCCGTGAATATATTGGTCAAATTTCACATTTGAAATAAATAAATACATTTAAGTTTTCCGCACTCTCGCGGGAATATCTCCGCAATGGAGCGAGCTTAAGTTTCACTTTCTATTGCATGATATAGCCATAGACCTTCGTCACACATGTTGCCACCTGTTTGTACAATTTTCAGGCGATTTGTAATCTGAATAACGATGTGTTTTGGGATATTTGTGGAGTTAGGTGGTCCGCGAGTCTTTTTTTATTGGTTAAGTGGTCCTTGGTATGAAAAAGTTTGAGAAACACTGCTTTAGACCTATGGTTTATCTTTATTAAATATCCTATTAACTCTTCACCACGTTGTTTTTACGCAAAAGTTCTAACCGCAGCTCTTTGTCAAATCCTACTAATAAGTTTCAAAGTAATTGGACAGGTACTGAGCAGTGCTCCTATGGCTGACTTCACTAATAACTACTAGCCACCAAACCTGCACATTAGGGACCACAGGGGCTTCCCAGTTTGGCTAGGGGAAGAAGAGCCTACTTTAGCTTCTTTAAACAGACAGCAATATCCGATATAATATAACCCTTAGTCCAGTGCAATAGTATCAACATTAGTTACTACACTTTTAGGTTTAAATATGGGTTTACAAGATGAATAGTGACCCCAGCAGGACAAAGCCACACACACAGAAGACTTTCAGCGAGCAGCTTGCTGCAGAAATGTTGGAATATGCTAAAGGCTCTGCACCCCCCCCCCCCCCCCTCACATGCGGGCCCATGTTGTTTTTACAACAGTTGTATTTGGATGGAATGAATACCTATAGTGATAATTCAAAGTAATAAAATGATTTTTACAGTGAAAAAGGTCAAATGGAACTGATTCCCAAATTACCCAGAGGTGAGTCCGCCTGGACTTTATTTTTCTAAACCTCTCTAAAAAGGTCATATTTCACTTGTTTTACATCAATCTTGATACAGGGTACTTATTATATGTTATAGTTTGGATTCCTAACGCTTTTAGTCTACTAACCCATCATTCAAGGATGGTTTTCACTATAAGTAATGGGTTTTCTTTTAGGCGGAGATTAGAATTTACATGTTTTTACTATGTTCCATCTGAATTTACTTTAAAATAAAAACATCTATATTGATTCTGACACTTCTACATCCAACTCACTGATGTAACCTTGCTTTGAGAAAAAAGATTATTAATTTACCCCTTTTAGAAGTGAATATATAGTCATTTGTTGTGTTAGTGGCATTTTCGAGCCTGAAACCTGAAAAACAGGCTCAGGTCTTAAGAGGTTAAAGTGCATTTAGCGGTGATTGCACGTCTGTTTGTTTCTCAACCATTCTTTGAGTTGACCTTTAAAACTATTGAGAGTGGGACAATCCCGTATCTCAGTTGGGAGGCTGTTCCAGAATGAGCTGCAAACGTTTATAAATAAAGCACATACTTTTAAAAGACTTAAAATTGTCAAAGCTCAAGAAATTGTGTTTTTCAAGGGTGGTATACTGGTCGTATGAATTTGACTTTCTGTCAAACACCTTGATAGCTCTCTCTCTCAGCTGTTCTATGGGTTTCAGGTTTGTGGCACAAGCAAACAACCAGTTTGTCAAACAGTATTCGATGTGGGATAGAATCATACAGTGGAGGGATGACTTTGCAGCATTGACAGTTAAGAAAGGTCTGATTTGTTTAAAATGTTGCAAGTTGAATTTAATGGTATACTTTCTTAATATGTTTCTTAAAAGTCAAGTTTGAGTCCATTATGACTCCAAGATACTTGAAGTGGGGGACTAGTTATATTTCTGCTCCGTTTAAAAATACGTTGGATCCTTTGATTTTTACTGGTCGTTTACTGAACATCATGCATACTGGTTTTTTTTTACGTTTAACTGTAAGCAAATGTTGTTCAGCCAGTGTTGAACCTTGTCCAATGCATTAGAGCAGTGGTTCTCAACTGGTCCGGCCTCAGGACCCACTTTTTCCTTTGTCAATAGATCGCGACCCGAAATTTTGAACCACTCAAATCTATTCAACAAAAAATCGTGCTGTAATATATATATACGCTTTTCAGCATACAATATTAATTAAAGTGAAGTACAGTACATATATCCCTTATATCCCTTCACAGAACTAAAGTATGCTTTAAAGGTTTAATGAGATGATGGAATCAAAGCTGAACTGTATAACGTAAAAAGGCTCACATGCTGAAAACCCAACCCCAGAAGGGGGTCTGGGGGGATTCTCCCCCAGTAGATCTTTAGAAATACTAACATATAAACTACACATTCTGGTACACTCTGAGAATAAAATAAATAAATCTATTACTCCCCGACATATTAATAATGTTTGATGCCATTGTTTGTTTTTCACTTGTTCTGACAGCTTGCTGCTCCTCACAGAGAGAAGAGCAAAGAGGAGATAGTCTGTGTGAATTACTTTGTGGGTAAGGGTAGATAGCTCCCATTGTTCTGTGACCTCTGACCTGTCAATCATCAAACCGGGGGTCATATTTCATTATGTGTTCATTTGTATCTGAAGTTGTACCCATGGATGTATAAAGAATAGTTCTACCACAAAGTTATTCTCCGTGGGGACTTCTGGGTTAGGGTTTTTACTCGAAAAAACATCAGCAAAGATGTTTTATTGAGAAGATGATCACTACGTGACAGAAGTTTTCAAAACCGTTTATGGTCTCCGGTACTTCCAGTCCAACGCCTACTGCATGCACAGCGTTAGAAAATTGGGCCTTCAAAATAAAAGTGACTTTTTTCAAAAAGAAAAAAAATATTATTTTTTCTTCACTCACACATCTGCGAACCACTTGAAACGGGTCTGCAGTGGCTCTCCCACCAGCTGAGAGCCACTTGAAACGGGTCTGCAGTGGCTCTCCCACCAGCTGAGAGCCACTTGAAACGGGTCTGCAGTGGCTCTCCCACCAGCTGAGAGCCACTTGAAACGGGTCTGCAGTGGCTCTCCCACCAGCTGAGAGCCACTTGAAACGGGTCTGCAGTGGCTCTCCCACCAGCTGAGAGCCACTTGAAACGGGTCTGCAGTGGCTCTCCCACCAGCTGAGAGCCACTTGAAACGGGTCTGCAGTGGCTCTCCCACCAGCTGAGAGCCACTTGAAACGGGTCTGCAGTGGCTCTCCCACCAGCTGAGAGCCACTTGAAACGGGTCTGCAGTGGCTCTCCCACCAGCTGAGAGCCACTTGAAACGGGTCTGCAGTGGCTCTCCCCACCAGACCAGCTGAGAGCCACTTGAAACGGGTCTGCAGTGGCTCTCCCACCAGCTGAGAGCCACTTGAAACGGGTCTGCAGTGGCTCTCCCACCAGCTGAGAGCCACTTGAAACGGGTTTGCAGTGGCTCTCCCACCAGCTGAGAGCCACTTGAAACGGGTCTGCAGTGGCTCTCCCACCAGCTGAGAGCCACTGCGTTAGAGAGACAAGATGAGATCATTTCAGTGTTTTTCCCGTGTATAAAGATGACCGCATCGTCGGCATACATTTGCACATTCAACTCAGGACATACATACTACAGGGCAAGTCATTTATGTACAGGGAAAAAAGTAACGGTCCAAGAATGGAACCTTGTGGAACCTTATGGAACCCCAACAGGGTTCACAAGGTAGGGGGATTTGGCTCCGTTGACCAGAACACACTGTTTTCTGTTCGATAAGTAAGACTTTAGCCAATGTATAGAAACTGCAGAAAAATGGCCAAAACACTCAATGATCCCGAGGTCCACTACTGATGATGTGTTGAATACAATTATATATAACACATTTAAATATTTAAAATAAAAAAATAAAATAAATAAATAAAAATGTAAAATAAATAAAATAGTAAAATGGACAAAAAGAGATAGAATTTTTTTTTTAAGTACCTTGTACATCTTTTTCCACTTCTTACCCCTGCTTTTTACCCTAAACCCCTTATCCCTTGGCCCCATCCCCTGTTCCCCACTCCTGGTCTATGGCCTCGTAGAGGGTAACGGGGTACAGAGAAGCCTAGACCGGCAGGGGAGTGCACTGACGTAGACACGCCGTGCCTCTTCACCTCTGTCCCCTACCTCTATCTCTTAGGGTCAAAGTTCATATGGCTAGGGATTACTTTGACCTAGATGCACCGGCCCGTGCCTTGCCTTGGACTTCTGTATAACTGCTCGGGTCTTGATGGACTGAGGTGACAAGATATACACCTGGCAATTACGAATTTTCAATTTCGCATACATTTCCATATTTCCACATGACAATGAAGGATCAAAAGATGTGGCTTTTGATCCTAAATGAATGAAACATGAAGCTGATTTACTGAAGACTCATTTTGTTTAATAATCATACAACAGTAGTCATTTGGATCACACTTAAATTCACATTTTAAAAACTGTACAACAGTGGGTTGGACATATTGGTAGAACTCATTATGTGTAATAAAGTATGTTTACAAACACAGGTGGGGGTCCCAGCAGGTAGAACACCAGCAACATTTCCCCTCACAGTGTAGTGTTAAACCTCTAGAGGGCGCACTTTCAGTTACATCTGGTTAACACCCGTATTAAGCACCCTCTCAAATACCTGATTTGATCATCTTCATAATCTCTATTCTACAGTCAGTGTTACACTGGGACACGTTGAAACAGGAAACTACAATAAGCATTCAGATGAAACATTAAACATTTATAATTGTCTACATCTCTAACCCATCTATCTTTGTGCTTAAACACTAAAATATTTTTCGGTAGTGGTTTGCATAAACTGGAATATTCTGTTCAATGCTGATGTGCAATGTGAACATACAGACAATCAGTAATGTGATAACTGTTAAAACACCCTACTGCTACAGTGAACTGCTCTCTGTAATGTGTTTCATAAAAACTGCTGTAAACTGCTGTAAACTGCTGTAAACTGCTGTAAACTGCTGTAAACACGCTCAGTCATCCAGCTGCTGCTCCTCCTCCCTGAGTTCAGCTAACATCTGGAAACTGAGTAATCACATTTACAGTTTCTTAATATTGTAAAGGCAGTTCATGTGCTTCCATGTGTGGAAAACAGTAATCCTATTACTGAGCAGCTGAATGTTTTACAAAGTTTAAAAAGAGTTATTTTCCTGTCTTCAATAATACGGTTAGTTTGTGCTGGGCTCATTCTATTTATTACATCACTTTATAAATACATTTAAAAAACAACACATCAATGTGTAGCTGGTTCACATGCTTCAACAGACCTGATCTGCTCCAACACCTGAACCAGGATCAGGTCTTAACCTGAACCAGGATCAGGTCTTAACCTGAACCAGGATCAGGTCTTAACCTGAACCAGGATCAGGTCTTAACCTGAACCAGGATCAGGTCTTAACCTGAACCAGGATCAGGTCTTAACCTGAACCAGGATCAGGTCTTAACCTGAACCAGGATCAGGTCTTAACCTGAACCAGGATCAGGTCTTAACCTGAACCAGGATCAGGTCTTAACCTGAACCAGGATCAGGCCTGAACCAGATTTAGGACCATGATCAAAAATGAAACAAGGTCAGGATCAGGTCTCAGTGGTTCAGGTGACCTCATACAGGTTGAAGCAGATTCAGGTGTCCAGGATTGGATCAGGTCTGGATTACAGAGTGATTCATTCACAGTTTAAATTAGTTTGTGGATCCAGGATAACTGGCTGGTTCGGTTACTCGGACACCAAGACCCGGAAAGTGACCCGACCTAGAGCCTTGTCCCGCTCATCGTTGTTACGCAGGTTTGAACCCTCCACTCTACACTCCACCGTCTGCTCCACGTTCAGGTCTTCTTTCGATAGCAACAGCTGCACTGCGACCAGAGGCTGCACGTAGTCCGCCTGAGGGAGACAGGATATAAATAAATATTCAAAGACATTCTGTGTAATGAAGTATACTCTTGTCTAAACAAAGATGAAGTCACATGATGGATCCTGGGCGCATCACAACAGTCTTAGAACCCAATGAATGCAGTTCAGTTCAGGGACCGCAGAGAAGTATTCCAAATATTTCACAAGAGGCCAAAGTCATGAATGTGATTCTGTCATTCAGATATCAGGAGGTGAACAATCGTTACACTAATCATCCAGCACTGCATTATGACCTGACTTCCTGAGAGGGTTTGGTGTATTCCTGTATTCATTGAGAGATAAACCAAAGATCCGTGTTCACAACAAGTTAAAGCAAACACTGAAGTTATCCTAAAATACCTTCATGTCACGATCCTGCTGTTTGATGTTGGAATGAATTCTGTCTTTGTGTCTTGTCTAGTATTACTTCCTCTCTTCTTGTTTCACCGCCTGTCTGATTGTGTTCAGCTGCTGCCCTCTGTCAAGCATCTGACATTAGCCCTGTTTGTATGTATACCTGCTGCCCTCTGTCAAGCATCTGACATTAGCCCTGTTTGTATATATACCTGCTGGCCTCTGTCTTGTATCTGACATTAGCCCTGTTTGTATACCTGCTGCCCTCTGTCAAGCATCTGACATTAGCCCTGTTTGTATATATACCTGCTGCCCTCTGTCAAGCATCTGACATTAGCCCTGTTTGTATATATACCTGCTGCCCTCTGTCAAGCATCTGACATTAGCCCTGTTTGTATATATACCTGCTGCCCTCTGTCAAGCATCTGACATTAGCCCTGTTTGTATATATACCTGCTGCCCTCTGTCAAGCATCTGACATTAGCCCTGTTTGTATATATACCTGCTGCCCTCTGTCAAGCATCTGACATTAGCCCTGTTTGTATATATACCTGCTGCCCTCTGTCAAGCATCTGACATTAGCCCTGTTTGTATATATACCTGCTGCCCTCTGTCAAGCATCTGACATTAGCCCTGTTTGTATATATACCTGCTGCCCTCTGTCTTGTATCTGACATTAGCCCTGTTTGTATATATTCCTGCTGGCCTCTGTCTTGTATCTGACATTAGCCCTGTTTGTATACCTGCTGGCCCTCTGTCAAGCATCTGACATTAGCCCTGTTTGTATATACCTGCTGCCCTCTGTCAAGCATCTGACATTAGCCCTGTTTGTATATATACCTGCTGCCCTCTGTCAAGCATCTGACATTAGCCCTGTTTGTATATATACCTGCTGCCCTCTGTCAAGCATCTGACATTAGCCCTGTTTGTATATATACCTGCTGCCCTCTGTCAAGCATCTGACATTAGCCCTGTTTGTATATATACCTGCTGCCCTCTGTCAAACATCTGACATTAGCCCTGTTTGTATATATACCTGCTGCCCTCTGTCAAGCATCTGACATTAGCCCTGTTTGTATATATACCTGCTGCCCTCTGTCAAGCATCTGACATTAGCCCTGTTTGTATATATACCTGCTGCCCTCTGTCTTGTATCTGACATTAGCCCTGTTTGTATATATTCCTGCTGGCCTCTGTCTTGTATCTGACATTAGCCCTGTTTGTATACCTGCTGCCCTCTGTCAAGCATCTGACATTAGCCCTGTTTGTATATATACCTGCTGCCCTCTGTCAAGCATCTGACATAGCCTTATACCTGCTGCCCTCTGTCAAGCATCTGACATTAGCCCTGTTTGTATATATACCTGCTGCCCTCTGTCAACATCTGACATTAGCCCTGTTTGTATATATACCTGCTGCCCTCTGTCAAGCATCTGACATTAGCCCTGTTTGTATATATACCTGCTGCCCTCTGTCAAGCATCTGACATTAGCCCTGTTTGTATATATACCTGCTGCCCTCTGTCAAACATCTGACATTAGCCCTGTTTGTATATATACCTGCTGCCCTCTGTCAAGCATCTGACATTAGCCCTGTTTGTATATATACCTGCTGCCCTCTGTCAAGCATCTGACATTAGCCCTGTTTGTATATATACCTGCTGCCCTCTGTCTTGTATCTGACATTAGCCCTGTTTGTATATATTCCTGCTGGCCTCTGTCTTGTATCTGACATTAGCCCTGTTTGTATACCTGCTGCCCTCTGTCAAGCATCTGACATTAGCCCTGTTTGTATATATACCTGCTGCCCTCTGTCAAGCATCTGACATTAGCCCTGTTTGTATATATACCTGCTGCCCTCTGTCAAACATCTGACATTAGCCCTGTTTGTATATATACCTGCTGCCCTCTGTCAAGCATCTGACATTAGCCCTGTTTGTATATATACCTGCTGCCCTCTGTCAAGCATCTGACATTAGCCCTGTTTGTATATATACCTGCTGCCCTCTGTCTTGTATCTGACATTAGCCCTGTTTGTATATATTCCTGCTGGCCTCTGTCTTGTATCTGACATTAGCCCTGTTTGTATACCTGCTGCCCTCTGTCAAGCATCTGACATTAGCCCTGTTTGTATATATACCTGCTGCCCTCTGTCTTGCATCTGACATTAGCCCTGTTTGTATATATTCCTGCTGGCCTCTGTCTTGTATCTGACATTAGCCCTGTTTGTATACCTGCTGCCCTCTGTCAAGCATCTGACATTAGCCCTGTTTGTATATATTCCTGCTGGCCTCTGTCTTGTATCTGACATTAGCCCTGTTTGTATACCTGCTGCCCTCTGTCTTGCATCTGACATTAGCCCTGTTTGTATATATTCCTGCTGGCCTCTGTCTTGTATCTGGCATTAGCCCTGTTTGTATACCTGCTGCCCTCTGTCAAGCATCTGACATTAGCCCTGTTTGTATATATTCCTGCTGGCCTCTGTCTTGTATCTGACATTAGCCCTGTTTGTATACCTGCTGCCCTCTGTCTTGCATCTGACATTAGCCCTGTTTGTATATATTCCTGCTGGCCTCTGTCTTGTATCTGACATTAGCCCTGTTTGTATACCTGCTGCCCTCTGTCAAGCATCTGACATTAGCCCTGTTTGTATATATTCCTGCTGGCCTCTGTCTTGTATCTGACATAAGCCCTGTTTGTATACCTGCTGCCCTCTGTGTTCTCTGTCAGTTCCTTATCTTTGTCCCTGTCCTGATGTGTGCTGTATTTTATTATATTTCTGGTTCAGTTTCTCGATTTTGTTGTATTGCCTGGTTTCTTTCTTCATTAAAAGCATGATTACGTATTCCTCCCTCTCTGACTGCCATTGGTTCTTTCCTCCTGCCCAAATCCTGACAGTTTCCAGTTAGGATGATTTATCAAAAGAATGGACCTAATAATAATATTAATAATAATGATAATATTAAATACACAAATAATGATAAAGATAATATTAATTACAGTGGCGAGCCGTCAGGGCCCTCTAGGCCCTCTGTGAGGGCCTAAGATATTCCAAAAAATAATATTTAAAAACATTAAAAAAAAAAATATTTGTTTTAAATATATATTTTTTAAATATTATTTTTGTTATATTTTTCATTAGTTTTACCGAAAAAAAACTTGATTTAATTGTATTTAAAATAACATTTCCAAAGAAATAAATCCTTCGAATCTGCCTGTTCAGTCTCTGTTGAATGTGAAGGGTTACATGAAAGAAGCTCGCCTGGCCCTCTCTGCGATTCACAGAGGGTTGCTATAGTAACTGAACGAGAGAGTAATGTCAAATGACAGTACAATTGACCAATCATATCTTCCCTCTAAATGGGTGGATTTTATTATCGCGGACTTTATGACAAGTTCCGCCCGCTGTGAAACTTTTCTTGTTTCCATAGCAACAACAACTTCCTGTCAACAGCGTGAACTCGCCTTCAAAATAAAAGCATGCCAAATGACACTTAAGACATACAACTGCAACGAAAGTAACAAACACAATGCAATATCATTTTCAATGTCAAAGAACACAAATGGGGTTCACAGGTGTTGTTCTGTGTGGTAGAGGGTCGCTGTCATTGATGCGTTTTGCACCCTGGGCCGTTGTTTTGATATTCCGCTGAAGTATACGCTGTGACGTAATAACTCTTTTTTTTTCTTTTTTTCGAGGGAAGGGGTGGGGGTCAGAGGGCCTAGGTATAAAGCTCACGGCTCGCCACTGATTAATTAAAACTGCGGTCACAGGAGTGTGCGCAGTGATGAGCGGGCCCTCGCATCCGTGCGCCTGTCGGGGAGGGCGGCCAGTCGTCCCGGCGTCAAGCAGACGTGCGCGAGTCCTGGGAAATGAGCCGTTTGTCATTTCTCTCATTTTCGCGTCCCAGACTTCCAGATCCTCCGACAGCGACCCGGAAACGGATGTCGGCGCGCCGTTTGGAAGGAAAACAAATTTCTGTAAAGGCTCGTTGAGGATCGATTATCGAGGAGGCTGTCTGGAGGAGCCGTAACCGAGGATACACTGATTTAGAGGAGAGAGGAGAGAGGAGAGAGGAGAGAGGAGAGAGGAGAGAGGAGTCTCTCTGGAGGAGCTATAACCGAGGGTACACTGATGTATTCTCCGGAGTCAATTTCAGCCAACAGTGATGTTTAAAAGAGGCCTGACGCATGGCTGGACTTATGTCAACGAAGCACAGCTCTGCAAACTGTTCCCGTTGTGATTATAAGTTATTTAAGATGATCAAATGTGCATCAGACTTTCTGCCCTTTACCGTTTGTTTACTCACTAATCACATCTCCCCTGGATGTTAGGCTATTTATTATACAACTGCTTTCATTGTGACGCGATGTTTACAGTGAGAACAGCTGCTGAGGTCAGTGCAGAAAGCAGAACAGTGTGTATATTATATATGGCTCAATAATATATGTAACAGGCCTACATTTCACACTTTATTTGTAGGCTTTAGGATATCTACAAATAAACAGTAGGGTTAGGGTTAGGGAGTGTATACGTGTCTGTTGTAATGAATATGCCGCCAGCAAAGGGCGTTGTTGGACAAACAGTAGGTGTGTGTGTGTGTGTGTGTGTGTGTGTGTGTGTGTGTGTGTGTGTGTGTGTGTGTGTGTGTGTGTGTGTGTGTGTGTGTGTGTGTGTGTGTGTGTTTGTGTGTCTGTTTGTGTGTGTGTGTGAGAGTTGATGTGCCGGGCAGACAGGCGGGTCTCAGTAGCTTAAGGTAGTATCTGACAAATAAATGGTCAAAAATTGTACATTCTCCGTTAGCTTACGAGCTCCATGTTCAAGCGATGGACTATTCCTTCGAAATGTAGCATCACATTGGATATTCGCTTAAATTGTCCTGGATTGGAGTTTGCAAAAATGTGCTTAAAATGCATGAAACATGCACATTTCTGAAAATGGCCGACTTTCTGGGGAACGGGGCTAATGAAAAGCAATTTGAAATATGTGTGCAATCATAATAGCAATATGTATACAGCGTTTCGTGAATATCGGAAAAACTATATGCGAGTAGTTTGGAGTCATTTGCGACATGTAAATCGTCAAAAATGGTGTATTCGCTGTTAGCTTACGACCTCTCCGATTGAGCTATCAACAATTTTCTTCGCAATGTAGCATCACATTGGATATGCGCTTAAGTTGCCCTAGATTGGAATTTTTCCGATCATTTCCCTATGACAAATTATCAAAAATGTGCTTAAAATGCATGAAAAACGCACATCTTTGAAAATGGCCAACTTTCTGGGGGGTGGGGCTAATGAAAAGCAATTTGAAATATGTGTGCAATCATAATAGCAATGTGTATACAGCGTTTCGTGAATATCGGCAAAACTATATGCGAGTAGTTTGGAGTAATTTGCGACATGTAAATCGTCAAAAATGGTGTATTCGCTGTTAGCTTACGACCTCCACGATTGATTTATCAAAAATGTGCTCCGCAATTTAGCATCATATTGGATAGGGGCTGAACTTGTCCTGGATTGGAATTTTTCCGATCATTCCCCTAGGAGGAGTTTGCAAAAATGTCCTTAATATGGCTGAGAAACGCACATTTTTCAAAATGGCCGACTTTCTGGGGGGCGTGGCTAATGAAAAGCAATATGAAATATGTGTGCAATCATAATAGCAATGTGAATACAGCGTTTCGTGAATATTGGAAAAACTATATGCGAGCAGTTTGGAGCAATTTGCGACATGTAAATCGTCAAAAATGGTGTATTCGCTGTTAGCTTACGACCTCCACGAGTGATTTTTCAAAAATGTGCTCTGTAATTAAGTATCATATTGGATAGGGGCTGAACCTGTTCTGGACTGGAATTTTTCCGATCATTCCCCTAGGAGGAGTTTGCAAGAATGTGCTTAAAATGCATGAAAAACGCACATTTTTCAAAATGGCCGACTTCCACGGGGCTAATGGAATCTATTTACAAATATGTCCGCAATTCCATGAGGAATGTCTGTGCCAAAATTCGTGAAGTTCTGAGAAACTATATGTGACTACCACACAATAGGGGGCGCTAGTGAGCAGTTTTTTTTTTTAATTACGGGGGTTTTTTACATTCTCGAAAAGGTCGTGGGCTCTGACGTGTGTCCCAAGTTTTGCGTCCGAAGCTCATTTTATGCTATCGCAATTTAAAAAAAGTGTATAGGCCACGCCCACATTCTGAATTTGTTGCCACACCTTAAATCTGAGTTCGTAGTCACCCCCAGAGTATGTGTAAAAAAAAAAATAATAATAATTCGTCCATCCGTTCTTGAGTTATAAATTGGTGGTGTTTTTGGCGCCCCCTATAGTCCAAAATGAAAATGCTTTGGTGTGCCTATTCCCCAAGACAGACTGAACCTATCCACCAATATCTGTGATGTTTGGATACATTGTTGCTGAGTTATGAGCATTTCTTTCTAAGCCCCGCCTTTTGCGAGTACGTTTTGATTCATGGCAATATTCATCGTCTTAACATGCTCATTTTCTACGATAATGTGTCTGACCCTCCACCGATGCTGGATACGAAGTTTGGTGTGGAAAAACTGAAAATTGAAATTTAAGTGAATATTTCACTATTTTGAACATTATGCTAATTTAAATAAAATAAAATGTAGGCGGAGCTTAGGGTTCCAAGAGGATTATTTGTAGAGCAGGTCCCCCCGGATATGTGTGCACAATTTCAGGTCATTTGGAGTTACGGTGCGACTTTGTACATTTATTCGGAAATGGATTTTGATAGGTGGCGCTAGTGAGCAGGTTGGAATATTTTAACCCATTGACTCCAGAATGTTGTAATTTTTACCGGTCCTGGCGTCCGTGCAAAATTATACAACTTTTGAAGTGTCCTAAAGGCCTCAAAAACAGGAAATATGATTCCTAATAATATTAATACGTAGGAAAACAATAGGTTCCTCGCACTTCGTGCTAGGACGCCGTTGGGTCCTAGCGCTCCGTGCTCGGGCCCTAATAAAAGCTATAAACAGACACTGTTTACTTACGTGAGTGTTCTTGCCATAGTAGGGGAAGAACATCTTGTCCAGGCGTCCTTCAGATGGGAAATACCTAATCTGTAGCGGACTGTTTCTCTGCGGATAGAGAGGGATATCCATTTATTTTAAAAGGAAAAGAGGCTGTGGATAAATTACACATCAAACTATTTCTACCTGCTGTGAAGCACCCAGTAAACTACAAATATAAACACTCACTTATAATGACTTATCGCTGGTTTACACAATTAAAGGTTCAACACTGGAGAGCACCTTCTATAACGTTGTGTATATTGTGTTTTTCTGTTTCAGGAAATTTGACTGTTTCTCATTCACTGATTGGCTAATGACATTACAGGTGCATTATGGGATAGCTGTTTGAGTTACCTTGGCGGTACAGTTGATGAAAGGGTCTCCTTGGGGTTTCAGTCCGATGACCTGCAGACATTCATTTTTACATAATCTCATTATTTTCTTATTATTTATAATTTCTTACAATGACATTCAATAAAATGAAAATCTGTCAGGACTCCTGAGTCGTGATTAGATTCCTCTGATGTGAAAACAGAGACACTGAAGATGCTCAGTAATGTCTTCATTGTATTTTAATAAATCATCACTGTAATAAGGCCTTCCTGTTGTAGAGGAATGGGGGACGGGTGGTACTGACCCGGTTCATCTTGATGATGATGCAGGGTTTCCCCTCGGCATATCCAAAGCTGCTGTCCGACAGACCTGAGCACTGGCGTAACAGACTGCGTTTGAACTGGCAAACCTTTTTCACCGGCTCGGCGTCCTGATCCGTGTATTCGCCCACCAGACACAGGTCGTTACGCTCCTGAACACTGTCGTTATAATCTGAAAAACAAGAACATCAACCAGACTTTTATTGTGATGGTCCTAATGTTCATCTACTGGATTTCCTGTTCTGAAGTCAAGGAGGAAACCAATCAGTGGCCACGCCTCCTGCTCGGTGTCATCACCGCTTATGTTACGACTGCTGTTTACACCAAACAGCTGATGGATGGTTCTGTTATAAACTCAGTAATCTCAGACAGGAAACATCAGCAGCTGGTTGTTGTTTACATCTGTGTGAACCTCGAGAAAGTTATGATTATCTCAGACAGGAAACATATCAAGCCCATGCAGTTATTGGGCTTAGTGTTACGTGGTGTCCTGCTGAGACGTTCCTTTAGGGTGTCGGTTTGTGCTTACTCTGCAGGAAGTTGTGCAGGTGTTGGGTGTACTGGTTGTAGTTTGTAGGGTCACTGCGGTTGAAGGAGATTTCAGCTGCATGAGGACGAATCACCAAACCTGCATTCAACAAAACAGATCTGAGATCAATGGTAATTCAGAACCTATAAATGATTTCATAGCACATGATCATTATGCACACATAACAGTAAACAGGAAGTAAACTGGAGAATCTGTCAGAGTGAACTCACCTGGACTGGGCACTCGGTCCTGATAGGTCGGGATGTTTTCATCCAGAGTTTGTAACATCACCCACATGGTAAGACAAAACATCCCCGCCAGAAACGCATAGAAGACGAAGTAGAAGAGAAGGATGAGACCTGAGGGAGCCATTCAGAGAGCAGTTTAATTGAAACAGAAGAGGAAACAAACCATCAAACAAATAATCACACACAAAAAACAAACAAACACTCACACAAACACACACACACATTCAAGCTGCAACCCTCAATCAATATGCGTAACTGCACTATCAATATAACCATATCAAATACGTGACCACAGCGTATATATGATGTACTGTATATAACTATCTCTAATTCATATATATTGATGTTTGTTCAGAGTGTGTCTTTAGAGTGTTTAGAGTGTTTCTTCAGATTAATGTCCTGAATGTTTGGACATCAGATACAGAGACACGATCCTGAGAGACAATTTCATCATCAACAGAATCCCTCAGGTCTTTCCAGGTGTTTCGAGGTGTTTCTTTTCTAGGTGGTTTGACATAGGACTGAGTCCAGCTCCATTACCGGAGCCGCGAGCAACCTTCAACCTTGGGCCGGAGTGAGCTGCTTGGAGTATTTGGTTAAACCATGTCCTGGCTGTAGGTAGGGCCTGCTTTAGTCACAGCAATGTAGGCCAGTACCAGGGTCTGAAAGCCTCTCTGCAGACACTGGCAGTCAGTGAAGGGAGTGGAGGAGAGGTGAAGGGTGAGAGGAACAGTCAAGCTGCTGCGTTCTGCATGAGCTGGATGACCAGAACCTGCGTCACCTTCTGGATCAGTAGGTATTCTCCTAATCAGGGGTATAGTGCTATTTTCATAAGTGCCGTAGCGCACCTATGACTCGCACATGCATGTTGTGGCACGACCACAAAAACAGAAGCATATGGACATAGCTACGATATAAAAACTGTGCAAAGGTATTTAGTATCTTATCCATTTGAACATGTTTAAGTAGGGGGTGGATCTAACATCCTCTAGATTTTTTTTAACATTTTGAAGTTAAATGCATCAATCTGGTGCACTTTGAGGGCAAAATGAAGGACTAGAACTCTGGATACTGATCTCTGGATCCATCTCTCAACAACCCATATTTTACTAATCAATCCCCTTTTAAACGGTATTCTTGTTTTACTGTCATATAGTATGAATTGGATTTATATATTATTTAACCTGTTTTTATTTATTCAGTTTAAAACAGGAGAAACAGACAGGAGACAGCTCTCCTCCGCCTTGGTGTAGAAACAGCTTCTTATATCCGTTATTCAGCTAATGCTAACAACAACAATCCCCGGTACCGGTGCGCTCTCTCTCTCTCGCTCGCTCGCTCACACAAAATACGCTCGTGCCACACACAGAGCCGAGCTTGAATGACTCACAGAGACCCAGAAGTACTTTACTGTATCATATTATTTTCGATGGTTTTATTGTATGATCATATGACAGATGAACAGATGCCACTGGGCTTTCAACTAAGCCACAGCTACGCAAAATACGCGGCATGTGTACGGCTCCTTAGGGTACTGCACTTTGTGAAATGCCGGAGCGGCGTTCAGCACTACACCCCTGCTCCTGATGGTGTTCTGGGTCAGTAGCTATCCTCCTGATGGTGTTCTGGGTCAGTAGCTATCCTCCTGATGGTGTTCTGGGTCAGTAGCTATCCTCCTGATGGTGTTCTGGGTCAGTACGTATCCTCCTGATGGTGTTCTGGGTCAGTAGCTATCCTCCTGATGGTGTTCTGGGTCAGTACGTATCCTCCTGATGGTGTTCTGGGTCAGTAGCTATCCTCCTGATGGTGTTCTGGGTCAGTAGCTATCCTCCTGATGGTGTTCTGGGTCAGTACGTATCCTCCTGATGGTGTTCTGGGTCAGTAGCTATCCTCCTGATGGTGTTCTGGGTCAGTAGCTATCCTCCTGATGGTGTTCTGGGTCAGTACGTATCCTCCTGATGGTGTTCTGGGTCAGTAGCTATCCTCCTGATGGTGTTCTGGGTCAGTAGCTATCCTCCTGATGGTGTTCTGGGTCAGTAGCTATCCTCCTGATGGTGTTCTGGGTCAGTAGCTATCCTCCTGATGGTGTTCTGGGTCAGTACGTATCCTCCTGATGGTGTTCTGGGTCAGTAGCTATCCTCCTGATGGTGTTCTGGGTCAGTAGCTATCCTCCTGATGGTGTTCTGGGTCAGTACGTATCCTCCTGATGGTGTTCTGGGTCAGTACGTATCCTCCTGATGGTGTTCTGGGTCAGTAGGTATCCTCCTGATGGTGTTCTGGGTCAGTACGTATCCTCCTGATGGTGTAATGGTATCCTCCTGATGGTGTTCTGGGTCAGTAGGTATCCTCCTGATGGTGTTCTGGTATCCTCCTGATGGTGTTCTGGTATCCTCCTGATGGTGTTCTGGGTCAGTACGTATCCTCCTGATGGTGTAATGCTATCCTCCTGATGGTGTTCTGGGTCAGTAGCTATCCTCCTGATGGTGTTCTGGGTCAGTAGCTATCCTCCTGATGGTGTTCTGGGTCAGTACGTATCCTCCTGATGGTGTTCTGGGTCAGTACGTATCCTCCTGATGGTGTTCTGGGTCAGTAGCTATCCTCCTGATGGTGTTCTGGGTCAGTAGGTATCCTCCTGATGGTGTTCTGGGTCAGTATGTATCCTCCTGATGGTGTAATGGTATCCTCCTGATGGTGTTCTGGGTCAGTAGCTATCCTCCTGATGGTGTTCTGGGTCAGTACGTATCCTCCTGATGGTGTTCTGGGTCAGTAGCTATCCTCCTGATGGTGTTCTGGGTCAGTAGCTATCCTCCTGATGGTGTTCTGGGTCAGTAGGTATCCTCCTGATGGTGTTCTGGGTCAGTAGCTATCCTCCTGATGGTGTTCTGGGTCAGTACGTATCCTCCTGATTGTGTAATGGTATCCTCCTGATGGTGTTCTGGGTCAGTAGGTATCCTCCTGATGGTGTTCTGGTATCCTCCTGATGGTGTAATGGTGTACTCCTGATGGTGTTCTGGTATCTTCCTGGTGGTGTAATGGTGTCCTCCTGATGGTGTAATGGTGTCCTCCTGATGGTGTAATGGTATGGTGGTGTAATGGTGTCCTCCTGGTGGTGTTTTGGTATCCTCCTGATGGTGTTCTGGTATCCTCCCGATGGTGTAATGGTGTACTCCTGATGGTGTTCTGGTATCCTCCTGATGGTGTAATGGTGTACTCCGGATGGTGTTCTGGTATCCTCCTGGTGGTGTAATGGTGTCCTCCTGATGGTGTAATGGTGTCCTCCTGATGGTGTAATGGTATGGTGGTGTAATGGTGTCCTCCTGGTGGTGTAATGGTGTCCTCCTGATGGTGTTCTGGTATCCTCCTGATGGTGTTCTGGTGTCCTCCTGATGGTGTTTTGGTATCCTCCTGATGGTGTTCTGGTATCCTCCTGATGTTGTTCTGGTGTCCTCCTGATGGTGTAATTGCATCCTCCTGAGGGTGTTCTGGTAACCTCCTGATGGTGTAATGGTATCCTCCTGATGGTGTTCTGGTATCCTCCTGATGGTGTAATGGTATCCTCCTGATGGTGATGGTGTCATCCTGATGGTGTGATGGTGTCCTCCTGGTGGTGTAATGGTGTCTTCCTGATGGTGTAATGGTATGGTGGTGAAATGGTATCATCCTGATGGTGTAATGGTGTCCTCTGGTGGTGTAACGGTGTCCTCCTGGTAGTGTAATGGTGTCCTCCTGATGGTGTAATGGTGTCCTCTGATGGTGTAATGGTGTCCTCCTGATGGTGTAATGGTGTCCTCCTGATGGTGTAATGGTGTCCTTCTGGTGGTGTAATGGTGTCCTTCTGGTGGTGTAATGGTATGGTGGTGTCCTCTGATGGTGTAATGGTGTCCTCCTGATGGTGTAATGGTGTCCTCTGATGGTGTAATGGTGTCCTCCTGATGGTGTAATGGTGTCCTCTGATGGTGTAATGGTATCATCCTGATGGTGTAATGGTGTCCTCCTGGTGGTGTAATGGTGTCCTCCTGATGGTGTAATTGTGTCCTCTGGTGGTGTAATGGTGTCCTCCTGATGGTGTAATGGTGTCCTCCTGATGGTGTAATGCTGTCCTCCTGGTGGTGTAATGGTGTCCTCCTGATGGTGTAATCTTCTTCTTCTTCGAGTCCGTAGCAATCTCAGATGTGGTTCTGCCAGTATCGGGCACAGGCCACAGCTGATGGGGTAGGTTCTGCCAGGTCTTCTGGACTGCACCGGGGGGCATCGGCACATTCCAGTAGGTGGGACATTGTCTGCACTGATCCACAGCTGCACGTGTCTTCTGTGGTGTAGTTCCACACTTTCATCAGTGCTTTGCACCTCCCCTGTTCCACACGCAGTCTATTAAGTGACTTCCAGGTTGTCCAGCCAAGGTCGTGGCCACTAGCAAGGCTTTCCGTTGGTGTGATTCCTCTGTCCAGCCATTCAAGAGCTTGTGTGTCATGTCTTTGCCATTCATCTTCCCAGAGGTTGGTCCTTGCTGCTTGTTTGGTTGTCTGGAGGGGCAGGACTGTCTGCACAAAACTGGCTCTGGATCGGAGCCTGCGTGGGGGTGCTACGTGGCCATGCAAGGGGTGTCTGATGTCTGTCTCCTGTGTTCTCCGTTCATCTTGAGCGATACCCAGTCGTCTGATGTGTGGGGGAGAGATGCCGGCTAGCGCATAGAGGCACGGGACAGGTGTTGTCTTAACGCATCCCGTGATGATGCGGCAGGTGTCATTCAAGGCTGTGACGACCAGTTTGGTGTGACGTGATCGGCTCCAGCTTGAGCAGGCATACTCTGCTGTAGAGAAACACAGGGCCATGGCAGTTGCACGGATTGTTGGTGGATCTGCGCCCCACTTGGAGTTCACTAGTTTGCGCAGGATGTTGTTGCGGGTGTTGATCTTGGCTTTGGTGTTCTCCAGGTGTTTCTTGAAGGAGAGTGTCCTATCCAGTGTAACACCAAGATACATGGGATGCGTGTGGTTGGACAGTTTGTGGCCATCCCAGGTGACGCTCAGTTCTTTTTTAGCGTCTCGGTTCCTCAGGTGGAAGCTGCATAGTTGGGTTTTTGATGGGTTGGGTTTCAGGTGGTTGTTATT